AGAGTGTTACGAGCTCTAAAAGCTTCCAAGAGGGTCTCTAATTACATAGGCATGATTTGAAAAGTGAAAATAAAACTCTTCACAAACCTAATTTTTCATATATGATGCAAACTTCTACATAAAAGTACTGACTAGACTCTTGCTTCCTGAACTTGGAAAAATTATTAAGTGGCAAAAAAAAACAAAAACAAAAACAAACCAACTCACTTGGACAATTAGTTTTACTTTTATCAGGATTTAGCAGCCTAAAAAAAAAAAGTTTAAAAATTATCGATTGCTTCACTGAAGGAATAGACATGGTTACAAAATATTCCCTCAAAACTGAATTAGTCTCCTTTAAAATATTTTATATATTACTTATCATGCAGGATGCCACACCGTGAGTCCTCAAAGAAATTAATAACTTGGATTAAAGCATTCTGTGGAAATGAAGCATGTCTCATAATATTGGATTTGGCATAGGAGTCCTGTGTCTCTAGCTTCAAAGTCTGTTTGATGGATTCCTTTTCAAGGCATCCTATCAATTTATAAAGCCAGTATGTTGAACCTAATCTACACATACAATTATTAGAGAATTTATTATAAATGGATATCCTTATAGTAGTTTTAGATCCAGTAAAAAGATTGAGCTTTCTTTACATTCCTTTGATTTAAAACCCAGCTTTAAATCCGCAGGATTGAAACTTCTCATACTGCGATAACCATATAAAAGAACAGAAAAGTAGATTTTTAAGAAATAGACTGTTCTGTGCATTTAAGCAATTTCAAAGGAAAAAAGTGCCAGACATTTAGAAGTCAATACAGAAGGCATGGATAGGAGAAAACTTACCCATCTAATTAGCATATTAATACTAACTTGACACTGGATGAAATATAATTAAGGTGTATAAGTTAGTGGATTTCCAAAAGGGTCTGACCTAATGGCACAGGCCAGACCCCAGACTGATGTGCAAGCTGTGCACTGAATTACAGCAGTTATAGAACAGTATACTTTCAAGAAAGCATCTCTTTAGCTATTATGTAAACAGAGGCCAGCTTTATAGCAGGAGAGAACAAACCATCTAAACGATACTGTCTTTGAAATCTACGTCTATTAGAGCTACTAGCGTCACTGAAATCGTCATTTCTCTGATACATTTCTGCAGCCCAAAGCTGCTACAGCTTTAAAAATAAAATCAAACCATCATTCAGGCTTAATCTCACACAAGAAACCTGTCTGGAACCAGATGTGAGGAGAATCCACATTTCCAAAATGCTTTGATGCCATATAACCATAAGGTGGTACCACCGAGAGGGTGGTACAAAGTACACATAGTGAGAAAACTGCAAGAGAAGACATCTACTATCCCCTGGCATCAAGCAAAACATTTCTTGGTGTTAGGAGAAGTCAGATACACAACACTCCATCTCTTGAGGGTGTCATTTTTCCAATTACAGCAGAGGAAATTGGGAGCCAAGCACTAAGGTGAACACTGCAGAGTGGACAAAAGGAAATGTGACTCTTGGACAAGCCTAAGTCAGCATCTGCTACACTCAGTGCACCACAAATAAGCTTTGGAGTTGAGGAAAGGAAAGAAACAGTCACCATGAAATCATGTTCTTTTTTACCCTCAGAATCTCTTCTTTTCTGCAACAGTTAGCTGTGTGTTTTTCCTACCCCCTTGCAAAATTGTGCAGCTCAGGTGCATCCAAAACTCAGAGCTGAATCTCTATCTGGTATAAATCCTTCAGTTTAATGGAGCTACAGCAACATACTCCAGCCAAGATCCTGGTGCCCTGGATCTAAGCTCTGTCTGAAAGGCAGAGCAGCCAAGGAAGGGTTAAGCACTGCCCGTCTGTGATGTGGCTCAGCAGGGGACTAAGGAAAGGAGGAGTGCACAGGGCTTCCAGAGGCAAGGAGAAAGGCCTCAGAGGCTGCAGCCTGCTTTGGGCAGGGGAGTCTCTGCGTTGGATGAAGGGATGGTGCTCTGGAAGGAGACT